ACACACTAGCTCGAAACAGAATCGTAAATTACCCGGAACTCTCTTCATTCAATCCCGCAGGCTTTCTCTGCAGGCTTATATACCAACAAACAGGCGTCTCTCGATCACCCTCGAGCTTACCCGATAATTCGAGAAACTCATCACGTATTACCAGGGTCACGTGACTTCCGCTGTCGTAACAATATGTTGATACCCAGATGTCAGAGCAGAAGTTTAATTATGAAATATATGTAGTTTTTAGGGATGTTATTTTATGTAAGTTGAAACTGTATAAAACACTAAAGAAAATGAGTGCAGAGATGAAAAGAACAAATCAAAACTGGTTAAGGTTTACATAAAGCAACATTTTCCGAAATAATGTGTTGTTTATACGCCCACATTTACACTTTTAATTATAATAATTTATTAAATGCAGTCCAGTTTGACAAACAAATTTGACAATTTTCACCCTTTCTCGAAACAAAAGATTATTAGGGGTGCTCAGTTTTCTGTGCGGGTTTTTCACTTTTTTACTTTCTTTTATAAAAAAATTAATTATTAGGAGTTGTATATTTTTCTAACTTTATCATAAACTTCTATGCTCTGTTATAACAATGGGTATTAGCATTCCAGCTTGATCTTGTCGTTCAGGTTTTTCTTTTTTTTGGGGGGATGGGTAGATTAAATTATGTAACTTAACACATTTACAGTAGATGACACAACCTCTATCAGATCAGTTAAGAACCCTTAAGGTACAACAGTTTTCTTTAGCCCAGTTTTATCTGCAGTAAGGAAGGGCACTGAAAAAAAACAGGTATGTTTTACTGTAAATATTCTTCTTCAATAGGATATTGACATTCAGTATTTTCAACTAATATGATACATGGATCAAATGGTCAGGTCAGATACCTCTAAGGTTCAGGTATTAGTTATCTCTAATTTTGAACCACTGACCAATGGAAAGGAGGCAACAAGCCAGTATTAACCGCCGTACAAGAGCTTTGTCCTGTCTTGAACGAAATAACAGATTTGACTGTCGCTCTTATAAAGCCCGTAAGATTGAAAGTGCAGAGGTTTTATCCCACGTTATCGCAAGGCAAACCTTGAACTTCTGAATCGCATCCCGGTATACGATAACATTCTTTATCTACAATGGTTTATAATATTATGTACCATGGCTTATTAAACAAATGAAAATGTTTTATTATTATAGTTATACTTAATCTGTTTGAGTTGGTTGAATCAAACAAAAGATAAAAAATAGCTTTGTACTGTGAAACCAATAAATAGTGTATAAATTGTAACAAATGGATGAGAATATTAAAATATAATTACTTATAATTTAAAATCATTATGATTACTGTAACTCCCAATAATATTATCATTTAGTCAACGAAGAGTTGTTAGAATTAAAAATTAGCCTAATTATCTCTATGGTAAGTATAAAGAAAGATGTGCATGTACCTTCGTTTTCCTCGTAAACAATTGCAAAGGTTTTCCAGCTCTTACTCTTAATGAGATCTCTATACGCTTTACTAAGAGTCTTCCAAAAAGGAAATAGGTTGACAGTGTGATTATCTAATTGGATCCGGAAGTCCCACCTTGTCTCCATGTGAGGAACATTTAATACTTCACAAGTAGATCGTACAGTAGTTCTTGGCTCAACAGACTGTGGTCCAAATATAGCCGCCATTCCATGGCTCAAAAGGTCACACACTGTTAGAAGAACAAATGCGGATAATAATTTTTTTTAAAGAAATAGTCACATCAGTTTTTATCAAGCACCTTAGAGACTATAGAAGTGAATGGTCTAGCTGATCTTGTTTTTGTTTCTTTATAGATCTTCGTACACTGAAATGGCCAGGGAAGAATAAATACTTCAGGTTAAATAGTTACATTTCAATTTAAGATTTGGTGTGTTTTAATGACTGCCATTCTTAAAGCTAGATCATCCCAAAATGTAAGACAGAACATTTTGTTTTAACACTGGAAATAAACGACCTTAAAACACCAAAATCTCTTATTTTTCTGTAATTAGACACTGAACGTTTCGCTTTACAGCTTCTACAGAAGCGTTCCACTAAAACACAAACCATAACTAACAGTACAAAGCTTCTAATCGATTCTATAGCGCGCCTTTCTACAGCGTGCGTTTCATAGATAAAGTAATAAAGCTTGCTGTTGAAAGAATTGTGTTGTTTAAATAATTAAAAGCTACCTGCTGTAAACAAAAGTTCTATCCAAGTTACAGATTGAAATAACAAAAGAACAGATAAAAAAAATAGAATATTAATAATTATAGGCGCCATCTTTGTCCCTATTCATCTGTGGTCGTAGTTGTTCGATAAGGAGAGTTCCTTTAAATTTTCTGCCAGTGTACTTGGTGGCTTTAATAAGGATTTCTACGGAGAATGGTAATTTCATGTTAGGTGTTATTTGTACATGATTAGTTAAAAAATGACAAGAAGTTGCGCTTCTTTCATGTCGTAGTTT